AGGATAGGAAACAGTGCAATACTAGTCCCCTGATCCAAATCTCCAAGAGCCTGTCAAGGAGGATACCATCTTTGACAGTATCAAAAGCCACAGAGAGGAGAACCAACACTTCTGCCCTTGTTGCCCTCCCTTAAAAGGTCATCCTGCAACACAACCAGTCCTATCTCAGTATCTGGACACCACCTGAAACCGGACCGGAATGGATCAAATCAATCCTGCTTCTTCAGGTATGCCTGTACCTGTTTTGCCACTATCATAGCTCCTTTAGTGGCTTTTATCAGCCAAGCTGGGCAAGGACCAAGTGAGGATGTGGTAGGTTGACAGCTTGCCAGCACCCTGGAGGCTTCCTCCATTGACACCGGGTTAAACTGGAGCAATCAGGGACTAGTCTGCTGGTCAAATCAAGATCAGTATGAATGGCCTCAAATATTAGTTCAAAACTCCTAAAGAACCTTCAAAACTATTTCAAAAGCAGGGGCGAGGCAACAGAGAATCAATCTAATCCGAAGGCCGGCAATAGTGTAACCTATCAACACCAACAGCAAACAAAAAAGTGCCCAAACTCTCACCAAATATACACTTTGATGGAATAAACACAGTAAATTAACAAAGTATCTATTTTTAAAGATCAGTTCAGAACAGAATCAAGCACCTCCCTCCTACAAACAAGGCAAAAATAGCAAAATAAGTGCCATTAATTTTTATAGTAGACAGCTTATACATTATATGTGATATTCATATACTGCCTTTTAATAACAACAAAAATGAATTTCCGAGCAGGATCACAGATGTAAATTTTAAACAGAATGAAAAAAATGGGCAGAATCCTGTTCATATTGGCATAATGTAAAGTAACGCTGGCATAAATGTGCCAGGTGCTACAACAAGGAATTGCACTATATAATAGTACAACTGGCCATGTGTCTCTTGCACAGCTGATTGTGCAATAGGCTGGTGGAGGTGCTAGTACAAGTACCACAGGCACAACCTTGAGTGGCATATGGGTACCTGCGCAGCAGGATTTGGGCTATAATAAAATATTTTCAAAAGCATTTAAAACAAAGTCAAGAACATCTGTCAAGAAATTAATTTGTGAAGAACCAGTGGAGCAAAACCAAACCGTTGAGCTATTTGTCGATCTCATAAAAGACTAGAGAGAAATTAGGAACATAAATGAACCTTCCAAGGAAGAGTAACCCCCACCTGTGGAACCACAACAAAAAGACCCTGTTGCTCTTGGTGACCACTAAAAATACACATTCAGTGAAATGCATCTTCTCCACTCTTACAATACTTTCTTTCCAGCAACATGATCTGCTTTTTATAGACACGGGAGACGGCCTCCTTTGTTGCTGCTCCCAGACTCTGGAATTCCCTCCCACAGGAAGCCTGACTGGCCCCATCTTTTCTCTCCTTCAACAAGCAGGTGTGGAAGGACCCCCCTCTTCAAGCAATCGGCCCCATCTTTACTCTCCTTCCACAAGCAGGTGTGGAAGGACCCCCTCTTCAGGCAAGCCCTCCCTCAGTGACTGGCTGCCTGAGTGGGATTGTTAAATAGATTGCTGTTCCTTATTGCTTTGAATGTTTTTGTTTTCGTTCACTGTGTTATAATGTGTATTTGACGTTGTGCCTTATTGCTTTGAATGTGTTTTCGGTTTTCTTTTTGTTCATTGTGTTATAGAGTGCATTTGACCCTTTCTAGTATTGGTATACTTACTGTTTTTGGTTTTAAATATTTGTCTTTTAATGATGTAAGCCACCTTAGGTCCTTTTTAAGGAGAAGAGTGAGGTAAAAATATTTTAAATAAATACATACATTTGTTAAGGTAAAAATATTTTAAATAAATACATGCATTTGTTACACATGACTCCAGAACTCGGCATAGAAAGAAAGTTGTTTATATTCTAGAGATAATCCCAATGGCCCGGTGTGTCTCCTTTTATCATGTTTTTATAATTATACTCTTGGTTTTTTGCCACTTGAAGAAATGTTCCTGTTAGAAGTGAAGCATATGCTCTGGTCTTTAGCTATAGGGATGAGGTAAAGACTCATACTGGGGTGAGGTCGTCAACATGTGAATCAACCTACTCACCAAAAAATAAAAAATAAAAATAAAAAAGGGGAGAAAAGAAAGATCACTTTGATTTTTCAAATGGCACAGAAGCACCCTTCCCAGATGTTCTTGCATATGAGGGAATATTTGACTCTTGTAGGTATGTGAGTATGCTGGCTGCCCTGGCTATACAGTGGTGCCTCGCTTAACGGGCGCCCCGTTTAATGACGAATCCACATAGCAATTAAGATTTTGTGATCGCAAAAGCGATCGCATTGCGATGATTTAAATGGGAAAAAATTGCTTTGCCATGATCGGTAAGCTGTTTTGCTTACCGATTTTCGCATAACAATGATTTCCCAACAGCTGATCGGTGGTTCCAAAATGGCCGGCGGGTAAAAAATGGCCACTCGCTGTGTTTTCGCACCAATTCCTCGCTTACCGGACAGTGGAAATGGCAGTCATATGGATGATTTTTGCTTAAAGGGAAGTTTTTTTGCCCCTAGGAATGCATTAAACGGGTTTTAATGCATCCCTATGGGATTTTTATTTTCGCATAGCGACGAAATCGCTTTGCAGTGATTTTTGCTGCACGGATTTTCGCCACTATGCGGGGCACCACTGTATATCAGAGTTGCCAAGTTTCTGTCTCTGTGATGCTTTGCGGGTTGCAAGGACTACTGAAACTGTGAAAAATGGCTGAAAAACCACTTTTTTTTTTGCTTGGGGGGAGCATGTGACCTATTTAAAATGTCAGTCACTGCTTCTGGAGATTTTCTGGGAGTTCAGTTTACCTTTTTTGGCTGGAGAAAACTTTAATATTTTGTTAAGAGCAGGGAGGTCTGCTGGAAACATTGTTCTGGAAAAGCCATCATAGAATCACAGAATCATGGAGCTGAAAGGCTCCTATAAGGCCATCAAGTCCAACCTCCTACTCAGTAAAATAATCCAAATTGAATTATATCTTGTGTTGTAAGCCGCCTAGAATGGTCACAATTGACCAGATAGGTGGGGTATAAATGGAATGAATGAATGCATGAATGCATGAATGCATGAATAAATGAATGAATGAATACATGAATAAATGAATGAATGAATCAATCAATCAATCAATCTGACAGATGGCTGTCCAATTTTCTCTTGAACGTCTTCAGCATTAGGGCACTTATCATCCCCTCCCAATGTAAGTAGTTCCATTGCTCTGACAGATGGCTGTCCAATTTTCTCTTGAACGTCTTCAGCATTAGGGCACTTATCATCCCTTCCCAATGTAAGTAGTTCCATTGCTGTACTGCTCTAATGATTTGGAAGTTATTCTTGATAGTCATCCAAAATCTGGTTTCCTGTAACTTGAGCCATTATTACGTGTCCTGCACTCTGGGATGAATAAGAATAGAGCCTGCTATTGCGGGCTACACCTTTCCATGTCTGCTCTATAGGAAACTCTTTTCAGTTCTGGAAAGATAGTGCTTGTGGGGTGCTGTTGTTTCGTTCTGTCAAAGCAACACTGTGACTTGACAGTGACTCTAATTAGGTTTTCAGGGTAGCTGAGATGTCCAAGGGGCATGAGTTTCCACACCTATGCAGGGATTTGGACCCAGGTTTCTTGAGTCCTAGACCAGCCTTCTATCCATTGCACCACACTGGACCTCTGAGGGTAAGGTTGGCGATCTTATTTGTCAATTTTGGGGACAATGAACCAATCTTGGGTAGTGGTGGCAACCATTTTTATTAATATTTATCTTTTTGCTGACACGAGTAGTCATCATGGCGCTCCTACTGGAAGCTGCTTCCCAGTCATCATCCTTTCCCCCTGACCCATATCATGTCTTCTCACAGTGAAGCTGTATAGCATCGTTCTAAAAGCACTGCAGGGACTGACAAGACATAATAGCCTCATTCAGGCATTCAATGTATCAACACGTGAGGAGGTAAGCGTACGAGTCACTCCTTCCATTCTCACACTGCCCATGTGAATTGAGAGAACAAATCCTTGGCCTCAAGATCCCTGAAAAAGATAGGCTTCACAATGTCACAAAGAGCCTTCAGAAGTAGAGAAGTTTCTATACCCCAAATCTTCTATGTGGAGAGCAATAATGGAAGAGGTGGGACAGGTGCTTTCTCATATGCGTGTATTGATATAATCCTTATGTTGAATGCTTGCATGGGGTAATGATATACAGTGGTGCCCTGCTGGACGATTACCCCGCTTGACAACGAATCTGCTTAACGATGTTTAGATGGGGGAAATTCGCTTAATGTTGATCGGTTCCCTGCTTCAGGAACTGATTTTTCGCTTTACGACGATCAGCAAACAGCTGATCGTCAGGTTTCAAAATGGCCACCGGCTGTAGAAAATGGCTCCCCGCTGTATTAGGGACGGATTCCTCGCATTACAGGCACCAGAAAATGGCCGCCGTATGGAGGATCTTCGCTGGACGAGCAGGTATTTCACCCAATGGAACAGTTTTCAATGCGTTTCAATGGGTTTTTTATTTTGCTTGACGACGATTTCACTCTACAGCGATTTCGCTGGAACGAATTAATGTCATCAAGTGAGGCACCACTGTAATACTGTTCTGACACTTAACAGGGTGGTAATGGTGGTGGTTTGCAGGAGCTGACAGACACCAGGAGGTCTGTGTCCCATTTTCTACCCCTGGATCTATTAGACAGACTTTTCAAATGTGAGTTATTCATACAACAGGGGCATATCCAGAATATCTATGGGCTGAGGAATTTATTTGGTTATCTGAAATACCATTGCAACATTTTTGAGGAATCTCTTTCTCTCTTCTTTCTGGACTTAAAACGATAAAACACCTGTTATCACTGCTCTTTAGAAGAGAAAGCTTGAAGAAATTGACATCTTTGGTTCCAGTTGACACAATCCACTTCCTCTGTTAACTTCCATGTCATTGTGGTCATCCAATGTCTAATTTTAGATCAGCAGCCCACCCAGGAACTGGATTTCACAATATTAACCACATCTTCCTTTTCTCTGTCATATTTATAGGCTTTGGGGCCTGAAAAGAAGTAAATAAATCCTAAAAAGAGAGAGAGAGAGAGAAAGGAAAGGCAAACAAAATAAGTGCTGTTTCTCATGTCCACAATAAACCTTTTAATGTGATCTGTCTCCAATCCACCAATATTATTCATTTTTTGTAAATTAAAAATCAATGTAATTATATTCTTCTTTCACATTAACAAACACACACACAAACAGAGAGGGAGTGAGTGAGTGAGAGAGCGAGCAGTATGCAACATTATACAGTGGTGCCCCACATAGCGATGATAATCGGTGCAGCAAAAATCGCTGCAAAGCGATTTCGTCGCTATGCGATTTTAAAAAGCCCATAGGAATGCATTGAAACCCCTTCAATGAGTTCCTATGGGCTTAAAACTCACCTTAAAGCGAAAATCCTCCATACGGTGGCCATTTTCGCTGCCCTGTAAGCGAGGAATCGGTGCGAAAATACAGCGGGTGGCCATTTTGTTTACCCAGCGGCCATTTTGGAACCGCCGATCAGCTGTTAAAAAATCATCGCTTTGCGATGATCGGTAAGCGAAACAGAGTACCGATCATCGCAAAGCGATTTTTCCCCATAGGGAACATTGCAATGCGATTGCAAAAGCGATTGCAAAATCTTCATCGCTGTGTGGTTTCGTCGTTAAACGGGGTGCCCGTTAAGCGAAGCACCACTGTAATAGCTAGAAATAGCCCGTTAAGCGAGGCACCACTGTAATAGCTAGAAATGGGATTTTCGGATTTTCTCAGAATTCTTCATTCTGAGATTTCTCCCTACCTTGCAGATACCTTAGAAACATGTGAATGGGGTGCACCTGAGAGAAATATCAATTGGAAGTCTTTGAGCTTAACTATGCCAAGTTTTGCCCAAGTATCCTGCTTAGAAAGAAAGCTGTCAGCTAGCATCAGGGCAGAAATAGTACTAGCTTGACTATTATGACAGCCAGGACGTATAAAATAATTTGTGAACGAAACTGTGACTTGATTGCGTTGCATGGTTCCTGTTTGGACAGATCTGTTGTGTGTGAATGTATTTGTGAAAGAGGTAGTCAGTTACAATTTGAGAGTGGGAAAGAGGGAATGAGAATGAATGTCATCTATTTTTAGAAGGGGTTCTGAACAAGAGTTCAGTCTTGTTAGTGGTTTTGTTAAAGCAAGCATCTATCCGAAAGTCTTTCAATTATAAAGGAGAAAAGTGAAGGCAGATTGTTGTATGTGGAAGAAAATCACAAGTTGAAACACTAGTCTTATGTTTTGCTTTTTCCTGTTCACTGAATCTCTTCGTTTGTGGTTTTTGTTTTAAAAATAAAAGACTTTTTGTTTTATAAATATTGCATTTTATTTTACAGATAACAGTCATCAGATATTACACATACCTAAACAGCAACTCCTAGTGTAGTGTTGGCGATTGTGTCAGTGTGTGATTATCATTTGGGTTGTGGCATGAACATGGCTTGTATGTACATGATCCTATGTAACATATACCTAAGTACTCACACCTACAGTGTTCCCTTTTCCAAGAAATTGTTGCCTTGAAGTGCCTTGGCCTCCACTGTCTAGTTTAATTTAATGACCTGCACCCTGGACACAGCACTTTCGGGTTTAAGTATTTCACATCACTCTCATTTTGCTCAATTATAATTACTATGCAGGAGGATCAGGGGTCCCTTAGACCACATACTGCTAAGGTGTTATTTCTGCACCCATGTGGGCTATTGATGTGGGGAAAGCAAAATCTACTAATGCCTGGTTCTGGAAACTGTGCAGACATGCAGAGCTGGCCTTTGCTTTACACAGAGTGAGATAACCGCACAACTAGTAGAGTGGAGGGATGGTGAACTGTTTCCCAGCTCCCTGAAAGACCCTCCCTGTCTGATCTCTGCCTATAGTCTAGGTCTCCAGAACAAGGCACTAGCCAGCTCCTCAGAGGTACACCACTCGATACAGAGGAATGGCTGGCATGTGCCTTCCTAGAATTACTCTTGCTTCTAATGCATGAACCAGGCATTCTGGGAGACTATCCTGGAATTTATTTATTTATTTATTTATTTATTTATTTATTTATTTATTTATTTATTTATTTATTTATTTATA